AGTGTATAAAAAATGAATTTGATAAGAATTGAAGCTTTGGCTAATGATATTAACTCTTTAGAATTAATGTTCTTCTTAATTATATTGATAATATAATTAATAATCGTTTTTAAGCATTTATTAATTTTTTATTTTCACTTTATATTGAATTGCATTTATTGTGATTATAAAAGATAAAGAATTAACCATTATAAAAAATAAAGAATCAACAATGATACCAATAATTAATATTTTTTATTATTAGTTTTAAGCTTTTATCAAAATCAAGGTTTTCAGTAAAAGCTATTGATTCTTAAAATCTTGAAAGAATTCTAGTTAATGATATATTTAGTCTTTTGAATGATCTATATCTTATTTTCTAGTTTAAACTATTCATTTTTTAAAGTTTAAATACATCCAATTAATTTCTAAGAATGCAATCACATTCTATTTTTAGAAAATTTATAATAATCTATATAATTGTGATGAAATATAATTGGAATATTTATCTTAATAATGTAATATATTGAATTATCATATTTAATAAATAATTCCATTTTTATATAAGGTTCTTAAATAATTTATTATTATTAACATAAAATTAATTATAACAATAAATTAAAAAAATAATGAAGGAATAAAAACATGACCCAAAAGTTGCTCTAAAAGTTTTGAATTTTTTTTTAAGAGGGAAAGGATAAGGAACTATCATACCAGAACATTAAGCTATGAGTCCAGAAGAAATTAAGACAATTTTTCATAGAGCCTTTATTCGATTAAGAGCAATATATTTACTTAATAAATTATCATAAGAAATAATTATGTATGGAACATCATCTAATTTATTTGATTTATCAACAAGAGATAGGTAAATATTAGATGATTTTAAGACCTGCTTTATAAAAATATCTCTTTCCTCTTAATAAGTCTACAGAGCATAAAGATTAAAGTCCATAATTTCCAATAATTCATCCAGATTCTTATATTAAATTTGTTTGGAATTTAATATTCACAGTAATTATATTATACACATCTATAATATTACCATTTAGAAGTATATATTTGATTCATAATAGTATCATTTTATGTTCATAAAGAGGAATCATATTGGTAATAAATTGATATAGTTACTGATGTATTATTTTGGATAGATTTATTGATAAATATGATTAGTGGATATTATGATGAAGAAGGTAAATTGGTAGTATAAAAAAGAGCAGTGATTTTGAAATATTTAAAAGGATGGTTTTTGCTTGATTTAATCTCTTGTTTACCATTAACATATATGATTGATTCATCTAATTCAAATGATGGTTAAGAAATTAAACTAGTGAAATTAGCAAAATTACCAAGATTGTATAAATTGACAGGATTAATAAAATTATCAAAATAATTTAGAATAACAGGTAATGACTTTTTTTAATTTAATTATGGTATGACTAGATTAACATCACTATTTTTATCAGTTATTTTAGTTATACATTTATCAAGTTGTGTTTGGCATTATGTTGCTGCATATAATGATTATGAAATAAATAGTTGGGTATATTAAAATGATTTATCAAATTCATCTATTCAAACTAAATATATTGCAGGTATGTATTATGCTTTCACTACTTTAACTACTGTAGGATATGGTGATATCCATGCATATTCTCCATAAGAAAAGATAGTTACTATAATTTTAATGATTTTAGGAGTCTTATTCTATTCAACTATAATTGGTTTATTGTCTTCAGTTTTATCTTAAATAGATTATAAGGCACATATATTAAATTAGAAAAAGGCTATAATGAGTGAATTTTGTTTAGAAAAGAAAATATCTAGATAATTAAGAGATTGTTTAAAAGAGACTTTGGAGTATAATTTTAGTAAGAATGGATTTGTTTGGGCAAATGATACTAAAATATTTTAAGATATTCCTATGAATTTAAGATATGATATAATGATGTCTATGCATAATGGTGTATTTGGACATTAAGCATTATTTTAATTAGTTGAAGATAAAGCTTTTGTTGTTCATGTAGTACCTTTATTAAAACCATTATTTATGTTGGAAAGCGAGTAAATAAAGATTAATTTATTTTAGAATAATATGGGAAGAGAAATCTAATCCAGATGCAATTTATTTGATTGATATAGGAAGAGTAAATTTTAAAACTAATTTTATTGTATAAGCAACTACTAATCAATTAAAATCATTTTCATTCAAATCTATGATAAGTGGTTCATATTTTGGTGAAATAGAAATCTTTTTTCATACAACTAGAGAATATATTGTTTAATGTGAATCAAATTGTGAATTTTATTATTTGACTCTTTAAGCATTTGAAAATGAGATTTATGATGATTTTCCTCATATGATGGATAAAATGAGAAAAATTGCTGAAGATAGAAGAAAGAAAAATTTGGAAACTATAGAATAATTATAATAATTTATATTAGATGAAACAACTAAACCAGAAGCAAGAAGTATATTAATATAATATATTATTAGTATCAAATAAAAAAAAGACTATTCTTTTAAAAGAATATTAGAGTGATAGTTAAAGTAATATTAATGATATAGCATAAAGATAAAATGCTAGTAAATAAAATAGAAGTAAACATGAAGCAGCTTTACTTGAATTAAGAAAAAAAGATTTAAATTAAAATCATGATCATTCAAAAACATTATTTTAATAACGTAATCCTTTTAGTTAAAAATCAATTTAAATAAATCAAAAAAAATAAAAATTATAAGAATTAGTTTAAATTGCAGAAGAAATCTCTGATCTTTTAGAAGAATGAATATTTCTTTTATGTACTATAATTAAAAGCATTCAAAAATTATAATATTTTTCATAATTTGTTTTTAATTTCTATTTAAAATGTTTATCTCTATAAATAATATTAGGTATTGGTTCATCAAAATTTAATATATAATTTTCTTCTTTCATTAATTTCTTTGATAAATGAGCTTATTTTAATAATTCCCTTAATTATTATTATTTAATATATATACCATTTTCTTTCTTCAAAATCTAATACTAAAGATCTTCCTGATATTCTAAGTGAATTTTCATTCATATGAAATAATCTATTTAAAAAACATTTTCTTTTTTCTGATCCACCTTGAATACAATCTCCAGAATATTATTTAAACTTTTCAAATATAATACCTTAAGTATTTTAAGAATAATTTTTTGGTACTATTACTTTTGCTTATTTTAATTATTATTATTTTAATTTAATCTCTTCTTCAGATTCCTCATCTTCACTCATTGAATCTTCAAAAGAATATCCTTAACTTATATGATATAATTACTGAAAAGATCCTTATCCTTAACAGTAGGTAAATCATTATCTTAATTACTAGCATATCTAAGTTTTTAATAAAAAAATTAATTTTATTCTTCTAATAGTCTTCTAGCTCTAACTTTTCTTAATTCTTCTTCATTATTTTCTTATTAATTAAGACTTGCAAATGTTTATTTCCTATTAATATCAGGTGATTCATTTTCTTCAAATTTTTTATTAATCTTTATTCTATATCTTTTCCTTTTGTAATTATCATCTAATGTAATATCTTCATCTCTGATAGCAACTATTTAATTATCAGCTTTTGATATGAATTCTACTAAATCATCATTTAATTTGATTGAATCATCAGTTTGGATTCTTTTAGGTAATGTATTACTTTTGAATTCTTATTGATGTTCTTTTTCAAGATGAATAAGATCACTAGCTAAAAATCCAAGAACTGAATTCTATACATTAGTTGGATTATTGGTTGAATATTAAATAAATGTAGATTTATCAGTTATAGAATTAGATTATATAGAATTTTATTTCAATTTAGGTGCTTCATCAGTATAAGTTTTAGATCTATTTTCAGATGATGATTTCATTGATTCTGAAACAACACTATAATTTTATACTAAAAAAGAAGATTTACCATCATGATTTCTTTTTTTACATTTATTATCCATAGAATTTAGAAATTATATTTTCTTTGATTTTTCTAATAATGATTTATCTTAAGCATCTATTTTATATAAATTTTCTGATTTATTTGAACTTACTAATTATTTAAATATTTCAGAATCTTCAAATAAAAATTGATCTTTATTTGAGAATGTTTATTTATCTTCATTTAAATAAGCATCAATAAATTTAATTGCTAATTCATTTTCAGCAAGAATTTTCTTAACCCATAAATATTCTAATTATCCAAATTATAAATCAAGATCTTTACGTAATTGAATTGTAGGTTTATCATACATATGATAAATAAAATAATAGATCTTACCTAATAAAGTAGGATTTTAACTAACAAGTGGTTTAAATACTTTTAACATTTATTTTTAAAATTTGACTAATTCTTCAAAAGACACATATAGAGCATCTTAATATTTTTCAGCAAGTGTTTTAATAGTGATTTTATTTGACAATCTTATTTATTCAGATGTTAATGATTTTGTTTGAATCACATTTTAGTTTAAACTGATTAAGAATTTATAGAGTCTAATAAAACTTGCATATAATCTATATTCAAGAAAATTAGGTATGAAACTTAAATTCCAAAACATAATGGAATACATTTTCTCACAATCTATAAATGCTATTACACTTCTCACCCATCTTAAAAAAGATTCTCTTGAATTATCAAGTAAGGGTAAGAAGAATGTTGATATAATTTAATGATTTGTTTACAATGTTTACTACAAAGTCTTATGACCATTATCTAATGAAAATTGTGGTTCATTTGGAAGAAGACTGAAATCAGGATTTACAATCTAAACAAAGTTGATTCATGATACCAATTAATTAAGGAATTCATTGTATGGAACTTTGATGAAATCTTTTTCGAAAGACTCTGAATCATATTTTGAAAACCAATAGTCATAACTATTATCCATCATTTATTAAATTGCATTTATAAAATTCAATTTCCAAACTCATTTAAAATACAATCACTTCTCAAAGACAATTTATAATAGTATACATCTATCATTAATATTATATAATATTATAAATACATGAAAATAAAGAAAACAACTGATACTGTTTAATGTATATCTTGAATCTATAGAAATAGTTGAGAATCAATATCTTGCATTTTAAGAAGATAAATTGTTAGCCAAAATGAGAAAAAAATAAGTATGACTTAATTTATAATAAAACAGGAACGTGAATTAGAGTAATTGAAATTTTATGAATAATAAAAAACAGAATAAGAGAAACATAAAATTGCAATTCTTGAACAAACAAAATCTAAATAATAGTAAGTTGAATAAGCATTGAAGGACAAGAAATTATTGGTATAAAATAATATCTAAAATATTTAGATAGAATTGAAAAAGAAAGAAAAAGAAAAAGAAAAGTTGCTTAAAATTTAAAAAATAGAGTAAGATAGATTGAAAGAATTAGCATAAAATGATTTATCCAAAGATAAAGTCATTGAGTAACTTAATGTTAATAAAAGTAATTTAGAAACTATTTAAACAGATAGAAATAAGAAATCTATTGTTAAAAAGTATAATTTTCATATAAAATCTTAGAATAGCAGAAGGAATTGTCAAAACATAATAGGAAGAAATATTAATTAAAAAAATACAATTAGAAAAAAGTTAGAAAGAACAATAAGAATAATGGAGAGAGTTAAATGAAAAGAAAGAAATATTATTGAATGAATTAAAATAAGCAAAGAAAAAATAAATAAAGAAGATTAAATAGAAAAATGAAGAAGAAAAAAATGCATATTATCAAGAAAAGTTACAAAAAATTGAATAATATCATAAGAAATTAGATGAAATTGAATTAAATTAATTAAATAAATAAGAAATATTAGAATTAAAGAAAAAAGAAAAGTTAGAAAAATTAAAAAAAGTTATGGTATTGATATATTTATTAATCAATTTAGCAAAACTATAAAAAAATTATGTCAGAAAAAAGTGACAAAGCATAATTAAAAGTATAATAAATTGAAGATAAACTTAATTAAATTGAAGAGAGAATGAAATTAGCAGAAAATAATATAGATTAATTCGAAAAGAATAAAAATAATCATAGATTAAATGTATTATAAATATACTTAATTAGATTAAATCAAGGAATGGCAATATACTCAATAATAAAAATGAAACATTTTAAGAAAAAATTAAATAAAAGGATGAAGAACATTAAAAATCTATTAGTGAAGCTTAATCTTTATCAAAAATAAGGTAAGATTATGAAAGACAAAAAAAGGAAGAGTAAATCAATTAACATAAATAAAAGGCTGCTGAAATGCTTAAAGAAGTTGTAGATATGAAAAATAAAAAATTATAAGAGAAATTAGAAAAAGCACAATAATTTAAAGAAGATAAAGAGAAATTGTTTTAATAACAATAATAATTAGCCAAAGATATTGAACGTTAAAAAAAATAATTATTACTTAAGAGTCATAACAAAGCATTAGAATGAATTATAATATTATTATATATTAAATTGTATAAAATATAAAAATTAATGTAGTAATAATAATAATAGCAATAATAGCCAAGAGCCAGAACAAAGGAAAGATATGTTTGTGAAGCAATGAATTTAGTTAAATTGTGGAGGTGTAAAATTTAATTTATTCTAATTAGATAGGTTTATCAAACAGAAACTAGAGTTGTTGATGGAAGAACAGTAAGGATTACATTAGATTAAGCAGCTGAATTAGTTGGATGTCCAAGAAAGACACTTGAAGATTATTATTATTTATTGAAAAAGGCCTAATATTTAGGTATTTTGTATTCAAAAATATTTAGTTAATTTGGAAGAAAAAAAAAATGAAAAAATGGGTTTTATAAGAAAAATTTGTAGAGAAAATAAAAAGCAATAATAATTATTAAAGTAGGAAGAAGAATTTTATCAAATAAATTAATTTTAATTAGATGAGATTCATGATGATTGATAATGCAATATTTTATTTTTTCAAACGAATTATAATTATTTATAAATTCCTATCTTTAATATGTTTACTTTCAATAAATGAAACAAAGTTAATAAAAATTGATGATATATTTTTTTAGTTATATAAAACTTGATTTGTTTAGAGATTTTAAGCATATTAAAGTAGAACAATTAATATTTATAGAATAGGTTTTATGCATTTAATATAATAGTTTCTATAATATAGAAATTTGAATATTATTTAGTAAAGTCTGTATTGAATATTACATATTACACAATTATCAAACTCTAATATATTATAAGCAAATTTAGTTTGAGTCAATGTAGATATTTTAATTTATGAATTTGATTTCATCATTTATTTTTGTTGCTTTACTAACAACTCCTTGTTTTTAGAAATGCAGTTCAAAGATGGATGCATTGACTATCTATGCTACAAAAGATGAACAGTTGAATTGGAATTTAGTTGATGAATTTTTTAATGGATAAGGGTTAACATTCTCTTTAAGTGATACCCAACAGAACCAATTCAAGATAATAGAACCTGTAGAGAACACAGGTGGTTCTGCTTTATATTCATAAGGTATTTTAAAGTTAAAATGAATTAGCTGCCACAAAGATTGTATCATCAAGAGCATTAAAGTCAAATAAATATTGGGTGAATTCATTTGTGTTTTTAAATAAGGGAACAACATAAATAACATTAGGAATAGCAGAAGGGTATAGAAATAATAATTATAATAGTGAGGCAGCTTAGAATGTGATAGCTCCAAAATTTGATGAGGTCATAATCTTGAATTAGATTGAAGATGGATTAGATTGTTATGATTTGGAATATATAGCTGAAAAGACCTTTATAGTAGATTGTTCAAAGATTGTTAAAGGTGTTGCTCATAATGTTTTATATTATGTGAATAATGGAGATTCTTATGAATATTTGATAGAGGAAGCATTGGTGAAAGCAAATCATGGCCGTTTATTAGGATCATATAAAGTAAAAGGATAAGGTGGAAAAGAATTCAGATATTTAATAAGAGCAACTCCATCATATTCAATTTTACAAGATGGATCTTTAAGTGGAGACTCATTGTTAGAAGTGTTCTTATTGAATGATAAAGGTTAACCATCAAATACAGGATATGTTTTAGATGGAGTTACTATGTCTTGGTTATTGAATAAATAATATGATTTTGAGTTTAATATAGTGGATATGAAAGTGTTAGAAAATGGAGATATTTATTTATTGGATGCATAATATGGTATATTTATAGTAAATTTTATTCCAAATGGTACATTTTCATTGAAGAAATAAATTGATACAGGAATGGGTTTTGCTTATGCATTTGATAGAAACATCTTTTTAAGAAGGGATGGCACTTATACTGAGAATATAGCTGTATTAGGATATGGTTTTGTAGAATTGATTGTAAATGGTTAATTGATTTCAGAATACAAATTGCCTGAAGGAGTTCATTATACATTCCCAGCAAATATTGATTTATCATAAGAATTTATAGTTGTTAGACATGATGATGCAACTTATCTTTTTGATATAGATGCAAAATCAAAAGATTTATTACAATTATAAGTGATTCCATAAACTAATTATGTTATGATTAATCCATTTTTACCTGATATGATAGTATTAACATTAGATAGAGCCTTTAGATATACTTTATCATAAGGATATTTATAATATAAAGGTTCTGATAATGTATAAGAAAAGAAGATGATTGAAATTATTGCAACAAGTGTTGATCAAACTTGTAAAGTTCAACTTACTTATTAAATAATTGAAAGTGATGATAAATAACTATATAAATATAGTGATACACTCACTCCATTCCCAAGTTAAATAACAGAAGATACTGAACCATTTTAATTGAATGTATTAACTAGTGGTCCAAATGAATAATATAAATAGATAGTAGAATTGAAAGATGATAAAACTGCAGTTACAGTTTCATTAAAAACCTATTGGGAATTGAAATTTGCTTAAGATTTATAAAAGGATTTATAATTCCATGATGTTTTAGTTGGAACACAATCATCATATTTCTTTTTAGCTCAATAAAATAAGGATGGAAAATTAACAATACTCAAAGCTACTCATGATTCAATCTTTAATGGTGATGCTACTTATGTGAAAATATTTGATAATGTGAATATAGGTACTAAATTAACTAAATCAACATTCTAAATGTGGGAATGTGAATGTCCTAAATTCCACTTTGCTTATGTTGAAAATAATAAAGTTAATCTTAAAGTATTCTCTGATAATTAAGTTAAAGAAGTTAATACTATTCCATTTGAAAATGGTGTTAGCATATTATTCTTAAAGAATAATCTGTTCTTACTTTAAAATGGCACTGTTCATGCATATACAGAACATGGTGATTTTGTTAAATCTGTTGATTTAGATTTATTAGTAGAATAAGGTTACAAAGGAACATGGGCACCTAAGAAGATATTTGGTAATAGAAAATTAAGAGAAAATCTTTTATTTGTAGTACATGAAGATCATATCACTCTATTAGATTTCCATACATCATTTACATTCATTAAATAAATTGCCATAGATCAATCTGATAATATTGAAATTGCTATAGGTGCTGAAACATTCTTTGTTGTAACTAATGAAATTGTAGAATATGATTTTGATAGATTAAACAATATTTTCAAGACTAAAGTAGTCTAATTATATGATTTTGAATTAGTATAACCTTTATTAGGTGATTTTTGTTCAGACACAGGTTATCTCTTTGTTGTTGCTAAAACTAAGACTTAAGAAATTAATGAAGATGTTAATAAATATCACATTTTAGTTATCCAACCTAATACACTTTAACATGAAGCATTATTTTAAGCTTTACCTGTTGAAGATCCATAATTAATTTCAACATAAGGTACTTCATCTTAAATGTATGTCTATCTTCAAACCAAAACTTCAGCTTAAGTATATTCTATGTTAACAAATCCTGTTTTAATTGTTGAACCATCTATCAATGATCCATAATTTGCTGCATCAGTAGATGTTTAACTTGAAATTTATAATTTTGAGGGTTCACCTTCTATTAATATTAAATAACCTATCAAAGTTATTAATACATAAACTAAAGTATATATTGATAAAACCAAATTTAAAGCAAATTCAATTGAAATAGATTCTAAAGATTATGTTAAAAAAGAAAAATTATTAGGAAATGATTGGTATAGTGGTTAAATCTCTGGATTCTAAATCACTTGTGAATAATGTAATAAAGCTGAAAATGGAATTCATATTACATAAACAGTTGAAAAAGCTAATGTTTAATTTTATAAACCTTATAAAATTAGATCAATTAACAATAATATTGCTTAAGCTACTGATGCTTTAATTTTCTTAAATGATGATGATACTGCAAATGATATTGTATCTTTAGATTTACCTACTGAAAATTATTAATGTTATTCATCAACATAATCAAGTAATTACATTTTAAGTTTATGTCATGATGGTGATTAATACACTGTTTATGCTACAAGTAGTGCTAGTATAACAGGTAAGTTCCCTATTGGTGAAATATTTAAATTAAATAAATAAACTAAAAAAATAGAATTACTTTAAAATGACTATTTAATTGTTTTAGATAATGAATCATTTATAATTTCTAAAATCAACATGGAAAATTGGGTATTAGATGAAGAATATGTAATCAATTTAAATGAAATTTAACTAAAATATGAAAATCTTTTAACATTTACACCTAATGATTTCCTTGTCACAGCAGTCAATAAAGTTGATGATATTCAATATTATAAAGTACTTATTACAAGTGGAGAAGGTATTTTCTTTTAAGATTTCTATTTCTAAGATTCAAATTTAGTAGCAGTCAATTTAGAATATGTTAATTTATCAGTTGAATTATAAAAAATACAATAATATGCCATAAGTTCTACTTAATATTTATTAGTCAAAGAATTAAAATCATTTGATGCTAATACATTGAATGTTTTCATATAAACTAGTAATGTTGTTAATTATGGTTTGAAGATTAAATTGGCTTAAAAGGAAGGATAATAATATTTGACATATTCAAGTTTAGAAAGCTAATTCTCATTGAATAGATATGGTACTTGGAATATTGTTAGAAGTGTGGCTGTGTCTAAGACTCATGTTGCAATTCCATATTAAAATTAAGACAAGATTATTGTAGCAATATATCCAATCAATGAATCAACAAAACCAACTACAGCAATTGGAAGTTTCAGTTTCATTGCAGATGCTTCAACATTTAACCCATTAAATTTCGGATTATTCTATAGAAATGAAAAATTATATGCTAATTCACCATCTAGTGATACTGAATAATATTAATTAAATGCAGAACCTTATTTAACCTTCACATAAGCAGCTGATTCTCCATTAAAATCAGAAAAAATAGTCATCAAAGTTGGAAACGATTTTAGTTGGTCATAAGTTGATTTTGATTTGAAGATAACTGTTAAACCAGATCCTGTTCCTCCTAATCCCCCTGGTCCTGAAC